GAATGGGATTAAAGCCCTTATAAACATAATGTTTGGAATTTTTCCCTGTTTTTGTTCTTCTTTCCCTCCTTTCATGTAAGGACACAGTGTTCCTTCTCTCTTGAGGACATAGCAACAAGACACCATGATGGAAACACAGAGCAGCTCCTCATCAGACACCCTTGATTTTGAACTTTCCAGCCTCAGGCACTGTGAGAAATAAATTTCTGTTATTTATAAATTACCAGTCTCAGACACTGTGTTGCAGTAATACAAACAGACTAAGATATTGATTTTTTAAACATTTAAAACATTCCACGTAAGTCCAGAGTAAACAGGGATGCCTGCCATTTACATTTTATTCAACAATTAATGATATAGAAAATAAGGAAAAGAAATAGAAAATGCTCAAATGGTGAGATATAATCCAGTCATTTGTTGAATATTATATGATAGTTCAGATTGAATGTCTGAGAATTTCACACACAAATTGTTAGAGTTAATTAGAAAGTGTGGCAAAGGATACTCAGAATATAAAAATGCATTTGCCTCTGGTAATGGTGAGAATTTGCTAAAGGTGGCTATGGTTCCAAGCATTTATCACTAATTGCATATGTATTTGGGACAGTATAAAAATAACTTCTTTATATCTTTGATTTCTCCAAATGTAAGATGGGCATAATAACAATCAGCCTAACTAACATTTGTACGGTGACAATTGAGAAGGAATTTTATGAAGTGCTTAGGTCAGGTAAACAAAACTTACCTCTATATATTTATCCATAAGGTATAGAGAAATATTGAAACTTAGTCATCTGTCTTGAGTAACTGGGTATAGGTTGATGCCATTGTGTGATAATTCAGAATGTAGAAGGCAAATTATACAGCTTTATTCTGCACAAATAGACTAGAGTAGGACACAAGAAGAATTACTATGAAGGTTGTAGAACATACAAATACAGTCATAAAACCCATCATGAATAAATAAGACCCAGGAAGAGAGTCCTGGAAATTGAAACTTGCTTTTATCTTGTAGATAAAATTCTCTAAAATTTTCATGAATACGAGAAAGAAAACTGCTATGTTAAACTAAATTCCAAATATGAAGAGTAAGCTGGTACCAGTTTCAGAGAGAACAGAACTAAAGTAAGAAGCAGTTCTTGACTGTATCAAAAAGATGACAAGGCAAGAGACCCTAGGCTGTGTCCCTCCATGAAAACCACCAGTTAGAAAGCTACCTATTATGGTTTGGCTATAAAGTGCCCCTAAAGTCTCCTGTATTAAAGTCATATATTAAAATCTTGGTGGGGTGATAGTTGCAATTGGCTCATGAGAGCATTAACCTCATCAATACTTTCTCTTGTTTTGCCCTTACTGGCTTAATCCAGTTGATGAGTTTATAACCAAATATCCTAATAGGAGGAGTGGCTTAACTGGAGGAAGCAGATCACTGGGTGTGTGCCCTTGAAAGGTCTGTCTTGTTCCATCCCCCTATTGCCCTGAGGTGAGCAGCTTTGCTGGGCCATGCTTTCCCCACCATGATATTTTCTGCCTGGCTACAGCTCCACAGTGATGGGGCCGAGTGACCATGGACAGAAGCCTCTGAAAGTGTGAACCAAAGTGAACCTTTCCTTTTTTTTTTTGAGCTAGAATCACATAAGGTAGCCCAAATTCCCCTTGAATTTGCTATGTAACCCAGGCTGGCCTCAAATTCAAGATCCTTCTGCCTCAACCTTCTAAGTGCTGCAATCTTAGGGATGTACCACCATACCAGGCCCTTTTTCTTTACTTGTTTTCCTCAAGTATTTTGTCACAGGGACAGAAGTACTTAATACATTACCCTTAAACAGAAATAGCTCTAAATAGCTTTAAAGTCTATTTAAGAAGCTGCCATGATACAGTGGAGCAAAAACCTGAGAATAATGGTATTGATTATTAACAAATAATTGTATTTATTATATACAGAACTGGTGTGGGAAGAGCAGTTTCATTTTGCTTGCACCATCCACAATCCTGACTAAGAATCATCCTGTTCCATGAGTGCCCCATACAGGGTGAATAACTGATTTTCCAATCTTTGGGGATGCTGGAAAAGGACTCAATTTGGTTTTATCCTTCCTGGTTTTCTGGGGTGACTGGCATAGCTGAGACATCTGGACATGGATAGGAACACATGAAGGGAGGGGCTATCAGTGTTAGCTTATATTGCAGGCATTACTGCAATTGCAGTGGCCTGATCTACTGAGGACTCTGACACTCACCACTGAGGACTTCAACACCTTTCTACAGTTTACCTTACAAAAGATTGCCTAATGCTTGATACCACGAATCCTTGTTGTCTGATCCACAGAGGACCTCAGAAGGCACTAGGGAAACCAATAGCCCTGGAGCTATTGTGGAACTCCAAAGCCTTTGCTTCCAAGCAATGAATATTTTTTATTCCAGCTTTATAAGACATCGACCTTTTTTTGCTCTACTTTCTGGACACTTGTCCCCAACCAGTGGTGCTTCAGATGGCTTGACCCAGGGTCCCAGAGGGGCAAACATACACAATCACCAATGATCCAAGTGTTTCCAACACTGTGCACGTCTTCAGCTGGCTCATGCAGTGTGAACATTCATGTGGCAGTACTGTCCCCCGCCATCAAATATAGCCAGCATCAACTCATGTTACTAGCTCCACTGCCACATTTGTCCCCACTGCTGGACCTTGTGGCTACATGTGTACATGTTGCCAGCTTCTAATCCCACTATTACTCAAGTGCCTGCAGTCAGCTGTGCCATCATGCATGCACCTAGTCACAGCTCCTGAAGCGAAACAACTGAGCAGTACAAGACAGATCATCACCTCAATAGACACAAAAAACCTAGACAATATTCAATAATAATACCCCCAAAATTATGTATAAAAAGAATATACCGTGAAACAATAAGGGGCATGTATGATGAGTTTACTGCTCATATCATAATGTTGAAAAGCAGGATAATTAGGCAAGAAAAATAAATAAAAGGCCTTCACAGTGGAAATTAACAAATTCACTCTTTTCAAATGATCCTCTGTATAGAAAATGCTAACAATTACACATGAAAGGTACTGTTAGAAATGACAAAGCTGCCTAGCAAGCCGAAGGTACTGACTTCAAACCCCATGCAGAAAAAGAAAGTAAGGGCTGGGACATGACTCAAGTAGTAGCGTGCCTACCTGACTAGAAAAGAAAAAGCAAATTCAGTGAAGTTATAGTGTACAAAATCAATATAAACACTATCAAAGCCAGGGGTGGTGATGCACACCTATAATCCTAGCATTTGGGAGGATTACAAGTTCAAGGCCATCCTCTACTACAAAGTGAGTTCAAGGCCAGCTTGGGTTACAAGCAATATCCCATTTAAAACACACACACACACACAATCTGTAACACTAACAATGAACTATATGGAAAAGAAATTAAGAAAAAAACTGTAATTTATAATAGCTTTGAAAAGAATAAAGTACCTATGAGTAAATTTAATGAGGTAAAATTTGCATATTAAAAGCTATAAAATGCCAAACAAAATTGAAGAAAACAGAAGCAAGTGGAAAGATATCCTTTATTCATGGATTTGAAGAATTCATGTTGCTAAAATGTGCATGCTATCCTTAGGAGATGTACAGATTCACTGCAATGCCCCATCAAAATTCAATGGCATTTCACACAGAAATGGAAAAAGAACCCAGAATTCCTGTGGAATTACAAAAGACTTCAAATAGATAAAGCAAACCTGGGGAGAAAAGAAAAACTGGGACAATACACTACTTCAAATTATATTATAATGAATTCAGTACTTCATAAAGACATCTGCACTCCTGTGTTCATTGCAGCTTGATTCACAATAGCCAAGATGTGGAAATAAAAATGTCATTGTCAGATGTGTGGATAGAGACACGGAGGGAAATATATTTCATATCTCAACAAAGGATCTTTATTATGGATACAAGAATTGGCTTGTGGGTAAAGATCGATCCATACTTAATGCATTTCACTCAACAACAAAGCTCCATTTAATGGAAGGGCTTCTAATTAAATGATGGCTGTCCAGAAATCTGTGACATGTTGATGAGGCAGTTCTCAAAGGAAGATGGATAGCAGAATGGGGAATAAATCCTTTGATCAAAACAGAAAGTTGTGCTGTCTCATATGATTGCCAATTTATTTGTGCTGCAAGCTGAAAAATAGAAAAAAACCCAAAATTCAAGTTTCTATAATGATTATCATTTTCAAATGAAACAATTTTAAATTCAAATCTCATTATGGATTTAATAAATGGTAATGATGACTGCTCTTAGCTTTTTAATTTTTTCCCTTTATTGTTGTGCTGGGTGGAGGTACACTGTGGCATTTATACAGGTTCTTACAATGTATCAAAAATATCATACGTGTAATTCACTCTTCCATCATTCTCCTTTATCCCTCCCTCCCCCGATTCCTGGAATGGTTTCAACAGATAACATTTTTGCATTTACATACATATGTACACATTTTTGCATTGTATTCACGCCCCACCCCCTTTCCGCACACCCTCCCCCCAGCTACTGCTACCAACCTTCAACTGGCAGGACATCTTCTGCCCTCATGTTCTCCATCCAATTTTGCAGAAGAAAAAAATGACATTTTTGTTTGTTTGAGATAAAGGTAGCTACACAGCGAGTTTCCTTGTGATATTTCCATGTATATATGTATTTTAACTCCAGTTGGTTTATCTCCTCTAATTTTCTTCCATTCTACCTTAATCTCTTTTTAATGGTGGCTTCAGGGGGTTTAAGACTTCTAAAATGAGTTTAAGACTCATTCTTGTATAGAGAGTATTAGATTCCTTGATTTAATTTGAATTTAATATGATTAATGCTGTCAATTATTTCAATTTTGAGACATGAATGATATAATCTGTGTTTATATGAAAAGTGCATATCTGTAAAAAATTATAGCTTTTACTTTTAAGGAATTGAAATTTCTTACAATTACTCTCTGAATACTTTGTGGCAGGTTACCTATCTGATCAGTTTTGAAGGGAAAACATACACACTCCTTCTTAAAAAACAGTAAGTAACCATTTTCCTACAGTTGTCTTTGAGTGTAAAGTCACTACTCTATGTCTTTCTTATCATCTCATGTTTTCTCTTCAACAAAATCGGAGAAGAGTGTGGAACAGGTTCTGCCTGGAAGCATGGGTAGGGAAGAGGTGGCCCAAACAATGTATACACATTTGAGTAAATGTAAAAATGATATAAAATAAAAAAAGTCACTGCCCTAAACTGAGTTTAAATAAAAGCATAAATGTTTCATTTACTAACACATCATATCTTGTTTGGGACTCATTTTAGGCTTGAGGTTCAAGCTTTAGATTTAGTGATCTAGTCAAATTCTAATTTGATGATAATAGATATTAATGTGTATCTAATAAATGACAACCATTCCACATAAATCCTTAAAAGTGTAGGCACCAATTGCATGTTTATTATTTGTCCATGTGTAGTTTTTTCACATCCACTTATCATTCTACATACTCACACGATGTTAAGCATCTGACTTAATATTACACATGCTAAGGCAAAGTTAAAATGGAAACCAGGCCTGAAAAATTTCTCAGTGAAGAGCCAGGTAGATCTTGGAAACACCCTTAATGTGGCTTAAACTAAAAATGTAAGCAAAATTTACCCTGGGCCATTCCTGGTAATGCATGCGGTGGGTGAAAAAAACAAAACAAAACAAATCTAATATCAGCCACCCAAAGCAGTGAAGTAACATGTAATCATGTGATTGTGGCAAACTGAGAAGGAAAATTTATAACTGCAGTCAATCACTCCAATATTCACAAAATTAACAGTTGCCCTTGACTATTGGAGCACTAAATCTTGTTTGGTTTTATGATTCCCAATTCATGAGTTACTGCCTCCTGAAATTAACCCTCTACATTCTTTTCAAAAATTGGTACTGCGGTTTTGAAATAAGGGCCTTGCACAAGCATGACACCACTTGAGCCATGCCCCCAGTCCCTTTTGCTTTGGTTAGTTTTCAGATGGAGTCTCACATTTTTGCCTGGGTCAGCCCAGGATTGTGACCCTTCAACTTCCATTTCCTGTGCAGCTGAGATTATAGGCATGGATAATCACCACACCTGCTTGCTCTTGGACATAGTCTTGCTAACATTTTTTTTTTTTTGGCCTGAGCTGGCCTCAAATGGCCATCCTGTAATCTCTACCTGTAATCTTTTTTCCAGAGCACTACTCTGCATTCCATTTCCACAGCCTTTGCAAGAATTCATTATCCAGGAAATTGCACCTAAACTCAGAGATTTTCATTTTCCTCAAATGAAGTGATTAATAACACTCCTCACTTTTGGCTTATCAATCAAGGAAAAGGAAAATTTGTCACAAATGAGAGAAAATTAAGCAGGTGTGACAAGAGAAGTAGTGAGGATAGAAAGCACTCTGTGAATGCTCCAGTCCCTATTCTAATCTGGTCTTGACCTTCCTCTGGGTGTTTGGAATCCTAGAAATATAACAGGTTCCCTACAATGTGTAATGATGGTAGCCGGCTGCTTAATATTCACTATCATAGAACGATTATACTTCCCAAACACATTCATATCAGGTTTATCTACAAAAACGATTTGGTTTACAAAATTTGAGCAACACACAGGGTCTCCCATGGACCCCTGTGGACTAGCATGTGCTATACAGTTTCCTTTACTCTTTCTTTCCAAGGATTGGGATTCAGGGTGGAGCACCCCTTTTCCTGAATTCCAGAATGAGGTAGCAGGGAGCAAAATTGTCAGTAAAATTGTAAAGGACATTCATTGTTCTTTTGGTGGGCACAGAATTTCAAGGTAGCTTTTACCACAGTATAGTTTCATAAAAACTACTTAATGCATATAAATATAATCAGACCATTCAACTGAGCAGCAAATATTAAGATATTTATATCATGAGATTTGTTGATGACTGATGTAAAACAAAGTTTTTGAAATCTAGAAACATAAAATATTACTGTACATATGTGTGTGCTCTCGGTTTATTGCTTTGAATTCATCATCGCCTCCAAACTGATCCCTGCCTATACTGGAAATTATTTTTAGGTTTTTCCTTATGCATACAATATACTATTAGAAAACAAGCTAAATAATTTAATTCCATTTAGTTTTTGGATGTATTGGCTTATGAAATTAAAAGTAAATTTTGTTTAATTTCATTATTCAATAATGAATATGAAATTACAATGAAATGTCATTATTTTGTTTAATAGGTCATTTTTACACCCAAATTTCCTCACATATTCATACAGCAAATTAGGAGCATTGCAAACAGAGTCTTCGTTTATAAAGGTAAGTTTTGGTTTCTGCTGTGTAGATCATGATTTTTTAGTGGTTCGGGTGCCATTGTTGAAAGAACATGAATGCTTTGTAGTCCGAAGTTTACTGTATGAACAGATCACAAGCCCAAATGTAATGCAGCAATTACTATGAAATCATATTGAATAAGACAACTACTTTTAAGTCTGGAACTCAGGAATCATTTGTCCAAAAAGGAATTTAAACTAGGTCTGGAAGTATGTACAGAAGTTAGAGAGGCTGAAGAAAATGTGGGTCAAATGCTTAGACACAGTGAGAAGTTTTTTTTTGAGATGGTCTTGCTATGTAGCCCTGGTATGCCTCAAACTCCTAATCCTCCTGTGTGAGCCTCCAGAGTGCTGGGATTATAGGTATGCACCACTTCACAAGGTAAGACTAACAAGCCTTAAGTGATATATCATAGGCCTGAGCAGTAGATGACATCTCTCACAGGAAAAGTCAGAGTGAGAATGCAAAAGTCGATCATGTAGAGTCCAAGTAGGCTCAGGTGTGGAACTGTGGACATCAGGCAGGATCCAAAGGTGCTTAGGAGTGGAAATGATTGACAATATGTGAGGATGTACTATTTGGGGGAATAGATAATTGGGAAGAAGCAAATGAAAGTGGTCAGATTCTATTGTTATTTTGGAAATAAGAGATAATGAAATTAAAGCTACAGTAATTGGTGCTATGGCTCTGACATTGTGAAATCTCCAGTATAAAAAAAAAAAAAAAACTCCAGTATTGCTTTTTGCTCAGGATTGCTTTGGCCTCTCTGGGTCTTTTGTGCTTCCATATGAATTTAGGATTGCTTTTTTCTAGATTTATGGAAAATGTCATTGGAAATTTGTTCCTTTTTAAAACATTTAGATGGGTCATGTTCTTAAATCCACTTGGACACCTACTCTGTGTGTCTTTAAATTCTATCACTCTATCTGTGGTAATTATTTTTATGTTAGGGCTTTTATTTACCATGAAATTATTATTTTATCTGCGTTTTACTTTGTTTCTCCTTCCTTTGTTCTTCTCTTCCCGTTTTGTTCTAAGTTACTGAAACATTTTTAGGTTTTCATCCTGATTTACATTAATATTTTAAAATACATTGCTAATTATAATTTTCTTAGTTTTTGACTTAGAGTTGTACGGGGAGATACATTATGATATTTATCTATGTTCTTATAATATATCTTAGCTACATTTACCTCCTCCATTGTCCTCTCTCCTCCTCCCTTCTTAGAACAACAGGTTTCATTAATCTATTTTCCATATGTAATTACTTAGAATGCCTTACTATTATGGATTTTAAAGCAAAATACTGAAGTTCTACCTCCATTTGTCTTCTATACTTTTGTTATGGCTTGAATCTAAAATTGTCCCCTGAAGGCTTATATGCTAAAGGCTGCTAGGTTTTCAGAGGTGATTGGGTAATGAGGGTTTGTCTTCATCAGTGGATTGATGATTAATGGATGAGTTCATGGTCTAGTGGACTGTTAGGAGGTGGGCCTGTTTGGAAGAAGGAAGTCCCCTGGACAGGCATTTGCAGGGCGTATCTCATCCTAGATCTCTTCCTGTTGGTCTTGCTCTGTTTCCTGGCTCTCATGAGGTGAACAGCTGTGTTAACTCAAGCCCTCTCCACCATGATGTTCTGACTTGCCTCAGTCCAAAGCAATGAAGTCAGATAAGCATGGTCTAAAACCTTCAAAACTGGGAGTCAAACTATCTCCCCTCTTTTAAAGTTCCTCTCAGGGATTTTGTCACAGTGATGAAAAATGATGATCAAAGCTTTTAAAATATATTTACTGAAGAATTTATTGTATTAAACATTGACCATCACATGAAATTGTTATAAGTCATGATTTAGCCATCAAATGATATTTTGGAATCTCATGAGGGAAAAGGGCAGTGCAGTATTTGTACCCATTCTTTTTTCTTTAACTCTTTGTAATGTTCCAAGCTTAAAGCTATCATTTCCTTGTATTTTAGAGTTTCTTTTAGCCATTCTTTCAACATAAATATTCTATTGACACAATCCCTTAGTTTTCCTTTGTCTGAAAAAGGGTTTGTTTTTTTCTTCATTCTTGAAGGGTGAATTTAACAAACAGAATTTTTTTTTTTTTACTGTATTATTATTCTAGAACTTGAAAAATGCAGTGTCACTACTTTTTGCCTCCATGAGGCACTCAGTGTCATTCAGATTGTGTTTCCTTAAAGATTTTGGGTCATTGTTCTCTGGTCACTTAAAGATATTTTTATTGTCTTCATTTAATTGTGATGCTTTGCTGTGGGTTAGTTTGGACTCTTTCCCTCTGGAGTTTTTTCAGCTTCTGGAACCTATATGTTTTATATTTGCATCAATTTTGTGAAGAATTTTTTTAAGCCATTGAAAAAATTTTCTTGTGGTAAAAACATTTAGCATAAAGTGTAGTCTTTTAACAAATTTTAATTTTATATTATAGCTGACTATAGGGACAATGTTATACTGCATACCTCTAAAACTTTCACTCATCATGCAAAGGTACAACTTTATACCTATTAAAAATACCCCTTTTTTGTCTCTCTCAGCCTCTGGCAACTATCATTCTACTTTGATTCCATGAATTTGACAACTTTAGATATTTCATGTAGATGAAATTACATAGTATTTGTCTGTAACTGGCTTATTTCACTTAGCATAGTATCCCAAAGTTTGATTTATGTTGTCACATATTAAAGAATTTCCTTATTTCTTTAGCTGGAGTGCTTTGCATTATATGTGCATACCACATTTTCTCTCTCCAGCTGTTAATGGGCATTTAGGTTGTTCCCACATCTGGTCTTGAGTCTAACAAAAATATAAAGGTCAATCTCTATATAAAAATATTTTATTTTGTCAATAACAAAGAGTAGGATCACAATCTGGAACACACATCCACAGGCTGGAGTAGCCTCTGGGGAACAAAGGAATAGTTGAGTTTCGTTGGTAAAATGGGAAAACTACACAAAGTATTTTGGTAGACTGCTGTTTGGCACCTGTGGTGTTCTGCAAGAAATAAGCTCAGATTTGTGAGTGGCTTCAGCAACTATGAAAATCTACTCTTAAAATCGATGTAGGTTGTTCTGTTAGACTGGTCTAACAGAACCAGGGAAGTCAGAGATATTTTCCTGTATAAGTGGCTACATATCTAAGTCCCCTCTTCATAGTCTTCCCAGCCCTATATTTCCAGTTTTCCCCAGCTCCATTTTGTCAGGGTTGACACAAGATCTGTCTCTGAAAGCTCTACTGATCAACATTCTGTAGTTAGTTTTGATTGTCTCTTGGTACTTGAATGCATCTGTCCTGGTTGTTCCAGTTTCACACAGAGGGAAGTGATTGGTGACAAGAATCAGTGTCAAAACACTCTTACTACAGGTGAGCTACAAGGGTGGTTTGGAGGAAATGGATCCCATGGCAAGTCTACCTGAAATCCATTGTGAAGTTCAATTTTGTCAGTTTTGTAGGTGTTGGCTATAGTTTGGTAAATAGCTTGTTGCTTTAACTTAGTGTTCTAATCAGTGCATTATTGTGCAATATTCAGAAAAAACCTCATAAATAAAAATATTAATTTTACTAGCTTGATTATACATGAATTTTTTGTCTGTTTTTTGTTGGGAAATAAACAGGTGCTTGCAAAGCAGGTGCTCTACCACTTGTTCCCGTCCATTTTGTTCTATTACTTTAGAATTGGGGGTCTCTCGAACTGTTTGCTTGGGCTGGCCTTGCAGCTTGATCCTTCTAATCTCAGCCTCCTACATAGCTAGGATTACAGGTGTGAGCCACCAACATCCAGCAACACACATTTAAAAATAAGATTTACCTTTTATAAACTCCATTGATTTTTTTTAACTAAAGGCCTACTTGAGCCTTTAGTTTGTTCTATATTATTTTGTTTGTAAGTCTCTGACAGTCTAGTAATTCTATTTTAGGACAGAAATTTATATATTTTTTTCTTGTTTTATTTTTTTGCTGGGAGGGGCTACATTGAATTCACCCCCTCCACCATTCTCCTTCATCTTCCCCTTCCCCCAATCCTGGAATAGTTTCAACAGGTATCATTTTTCCATTTACATTCAAGTGTACACAGTATTTGTACCATACTCACCCTCTTTCACCGACTCCCTACCCCCTCTCCCTTCCCACCAGTACCAACCTCCCAGGCAGGACCTGTTCACAATTTTTTTATATAAATTTATGTTTTTGTTTTTATTTATGTTTATATTTCAACTATTTTTGTTTTTTAACCTTCTTTATAAAAATACATCTGTATAACATTTGGGGGGATTTTTCTTTTACTTACTGGCTTCTCTCTGCGTGGTTTCTATTTTACTTTCATATTTATTTTTAGAAATAGCCTATAAAGGGCTAGAGATGTAGCTCAGTGATAGAACACTTGCCCAACATACACAAAGGCCTGGATTCAATCTCCACCAACGAAAATAAGTAAGTACACAAATAAACAAATAACCCCTCAAGAACCTCTGAATTTGATTTTCTTTTGTCTTTTTTTTAGCCCAGGGCCTTGTGGTATGCTATGTAAATGCTCTAACACTGAGCTACATCCAAGCCCTTGATATTTTTTTAATCAGGTCTGATTGGATATTATAAAGATAGTTATTTTTGCATGCTTTGTAATTATGCACATTAATTAAAATTTTAATGTAAAGCTAACATATGGTGAAAATATAGGAAGCAAGCAATTTTGAATTGTCATATACCAACATTTTATAAGTATACATTTTGTAATTACTGGAATAAATAAATGCATAGAATTGTTTCCTTTGTTAATATGTATTGACATCTTTATCTCTTGTGACTAATTTTGGCTTGAAGTCTACTTTGTTAGCTATAAGTATAATAGCTACTTTTGCTTGTTTTTTTCTTCTGCTTGCTTGGTTAATAGTTTTCCATTATTTCACTTTCTTTCAGTCTGTGTGTCTTTGCCTCTGAATTGTGCTTCTTGTAGTCAACAAATTGGATC